AGAACTGCTTACTCAAAGGTATCAGCAAACACTTCTACAAACATTTCAACCTTCCAGTCCATATGCAAAAATAATGCTCTACTTCATGGGGTCTTGACCCAACAGGCCAGTGAGGCAAGCCATATTCAGTTAGGCCCCTTATTAGCCGTACCCAGTGGCATTTGTGTCAAAGCTTTCCCAAAAGACGCCACCCGAGTGCAGCAGATCCCAGGATGCAGGCAGCTTTGTGACATGTGGAGAAACAACACCTTCCGACCCTGATCTGGGCGAGCTGGCCAAGGCCACTGCCATGTGAGGAAGCTCCAGCGTGCCCGTGAGGCCCCTGGGAGTGCTTCCCCAAGAATGTGTGGGGCCCCGGCCCTTACAGGTACTGCTGGACACGTCCCCGGAACATTGAAGGGTTCCGGTGATGAGCCAGGTGGGCAGGACATGGCGGGACCCGCTCCCAGACTCTGAGACGGACCATATATAGTGAGACCCGTTCAGAAAAGTCAGCTTTGAGCCACGGCCTGTCCTTGGACTCTGGTGCCCTGGCTCAGAAGGGGCCATACCCTGGTCCAGTTGTCAGTCCTCCTGTCAAAAGGCCAAGGAGAGAGTGAGTGCCCCCTCTTATCTCTGAGCTGCACGAAAGGCCTACTCACCCATGTGATAAAGTGGGACCCTCAAATTTATTTTACTCACTTATTCAGCATGGAGACTTATAGAAAAACACATTTTTATTTTGTTATTAAAGCAAGCATTGCCCTTGGGCATGTTACTTATACAAAGATAACTGTTCTTCAGAGATAGTTATATCCTATAGAAGTCAACTTCGCCCCTGAAGAGCAGGCCCATCGTCTTACTGGCTGTCCTCCTTAATAATTTGTTGCCTGGTCATCAGGTTGTAATCGNTAACTTCTCTAATGCAGAAGTCAGCTCCACAAAAGGCACTGTTGACAGAGTGCAGCAAAATTCACACGTTGCATTTCAGCCTATTGAGCTCTTTAAATTCCACGTGTCTTGTGCGGGGAATTTTGCCATGTCACTGTGACCCGTCAAAACAGTGAGTCAGAAAGGGATCTCCTTGAAACCATTTTAGCCAAATATTTGCTGTCTGTAAATTATTAGGCAAGACACCATAGGAGACCCAGAGAAAGAGGGGGTGGGGGACTCAGATACAAGTCTCTCCCTTCTGTGAGCTTATAATCTGGTTCAGACATAAGCAAAACTTACATAATGCAAAACAAGGGTACAGAAGAGGTCAAATGGCAGCACAAAACTAATTGTCAAGTGAATGGTACAGTGAAGTGTATTCACAGTCCAGTGTAAGGAGACGTCAGCATAGCCTGGAGTGACACAGAAGCTACAGGGAGCCTTTACAAGATGTTCAAAATCAGGATAGAAGTGGGAGGGTGTATTTAAGGTAGAGGGAGCAAGACTGCAAAAAGACAGAACTGGGAACGTGTAGGGTGGGATTGAGACTAGTGGGAAACCCAATTTGCTTGAAGGAGAGGTTTTGGGGGCTGAGGACACGGGACAGGGGACTCCAGTCCAAGCTCAGGAGCCAAGGTTGCATTGTATAGGCTGCCATCTGTCAGTGCTTTCCAAGAACCAGCTGCCTGGAGAGCTTGTTAAACTGCAGATTTCGGGGCTCCCTTCCCAACCTAGGTACTGGCATTTTAAACAAACACCACAGGTGGCTGGTCCCCTGCGGATGTTGTTAAAGATTTCTGAACAGAGGGCAATGCCGAGTGGTGCTCTGTTCAAGTCAACCTGGTAGGCAAGGTGGACAGGAGCAGACAGAGGTCGGAAGGAGGAGGAAAAGTAGAAATTAGAAACCAACCCTGACTGGTTAATCGAGGGAACCTGAGTCAGACTAATTCTGATGTGGCCACGCCTTTTCACTCCATCATGGAAACCTGAGGCCCTGGGCAGGGTCCTCACCACTGTCTCTTCCTGAATTAGTCAGAGACCTGGGCTGGAGTCCTGCCTGACAGCCATTAGCGGCTGGTCACAGGTGAGCCCCCACCTCTGCGCGTTAGTTCCTTCAGCCTTACAATGGGGGTGATGATTTCATCACAGGTTTAAATACATCATGTCAAGCCATAGTTCTCAGTCATCTTCTCCCATGGGAAGCACCAGGGAGGGTTTTGGTTTTTCTGTTTGTTTTGGGGGGAGGTGTTCTTTTAACAAAATGGGTTTTAATAAAATGCCTTGGCATTGGCTTTTAAAAAGCCTTCCCAGGTGACTGTTATGCAGCCAAGGTTGAGCCCACTGGTGGAGTGGAATGAGCCCGCTCTGAGCACATGCCTCGGGGAGTGGAGTGGGCTGGCAATCAGAAAACGCTGAGCCGGGGTGTCTGTGCTTTGGCTACAGGACGCGGCTGCTTCTGGTTTTGCTCAGAGAACTGCAAGCCTCCAGTGTCACCAGACTTTCCAATTGTTCAAGAAGCTACAAATTTAGATTTGTAGTGGAAATCCCAGCTAACTCAAATTTATAAAAAAAAAACAAAACAGAACTCTGTGTGGGCCAAAGAAACCCGGCCGGTGGGGCATATTTCAGTTCTTGGGCCACCACCAGTCTGTGTGACCTGTGTTTTGGAGGCAGGTGGACCTCCAGTTTGGCCACTGGTTTGGGGAATGTAATCGTATCTTTATCAACAACGCTGTACTTTCCCAGTTAACCTCAAATCTGGGATCTTTGTGAAAAAGAGCCTCCGCCAACTCAGGCTCCTGCCTGGACTCTGTGGCTCTAGCCTCCCAGCTCCCTCTGTGACACCTCTCTTGAGACAGCAGGAGTCCACCTGAGTTGCAAACCTGGCCCTGCCCCCAAACGGTGGGTGGAGGTGGAGGAGGAGATGGGTTTCCAATCAGTCCTGCCTCTTATGGAGGAAGCCAATGTACACAGGAGGCCTAAAGATGGCAGTGGTCGCTGGGACCGGCCACAAGCTCAGCTTCTCGGTGCTGAAGGGAAACTTCATTCAGAAGGTGGGTAAGAAAGAGAAACTGGAAGCGACGTACACAAAGTGCTTAATACCCAACAAGCTGACGCCCTCTGAAACTTTGAGTGATAAGAGTCCAGTTTATGAGACATCGTGGCCCAAGACGACCCGGGGAGGAGATGGCAAAGGGTATACCCACCCCGCGCAATGCCCTGTGGCGGGGGCGTGTGCAAAATGCCTGGTACTCAGCGGCCCAACAATTNTGATGAAGGTAGGCAATAAACCACATGGTGATAGTGAGACACTTCCATGTCATGTAAGAGCTGGTGCAGAGTCTTAAAATATTGTTTTCAGTCCTCACTACTCTGAAAATGAGGTTGTGGACTCATCCTAGATCTTATTATTTGTGGTTGTTAACAAGTCAACAACATATTACTATACCACACATTAAAAAACGTATTTTTATAAATGTATTTCAGTATGGTTGGTTTCCTTTATAATCCTATGTATTTCATGCATTTAAAAAGTATAATTCTGAGGGTGGCCAGAGGCTTTACCAGCTTGCCGAAAGGGGTCCATGGTACATGAAATGGACCCTGCTTAAGAAAGTCAGGGACCATTGATTGGGGCTGCAAAATAAGGTGAATGATGTAAAAATCAATACTTACTGAAATGTGGCATTATAATATTCTTCGGGCGTCACTATTTTTGGTCCACCGAAGTAGTCCAGGAGCCAGATATTGGTTATATTCAACTTAGCAACGAACCAATTATGGCTGGAAGGCCAGGCTTTCATCTCAGGGTGTCGAACGAACAATGATTGCTTGGCGAAGTCCCCTTCTGTCTCATTCACCTAAAAGACATATGTGAAATTAATGTTCTCATAGCAGTGCCATTTCTCAGCTGTTAAGAATGTGTGATTCTAGCATTCTTCAAATCCTAAAGGGTTAATTTAGCTACAGATCCTGATTTTTAAAAGCTTTTATTTTTTTAAAAAAAACTGAGTTATACTTGGCACATAATGTTGTATTAGTTTTCGGTATACAACATAATGATTTGATATATGTATACACTGTGAAATGATTACCACAGGAAGTTTAGTTAACGACCATCACCACATACACTTAAAATTTTTTTCTCTTTTTTTCTTTCTTTTTCTTTTTCTTGTGATGTGAACTTTTAAGGTCTACTATAAACCTTGATTTTAAACTGAAGAAATCCAGAGAAAATAAAGGAAGCTTGGAGAAATGCAGAGAACAATGAAGACTGGAAGCATTGCTGAGAACAGACATGATGGGGTGGGGAACCATCGCGAGTACCCGTTTTCATTGCTAACTAGTCATTCTGAGCTATCAGAGTCACTGACACGAGGTACTATAATAAAATGTTCCGGGTGCTTATGACGTGTAACAAGAGCACACTTATCCCGTGACAAGCACATGCTAGACGTGAGCTGCACGTGCACAAAGGGTAAAAGTCTTTAGAAGACGCACAATGGAACTGAAGAGCATTAGCTGCCCGCCCCTCCCCTTTTCTCCTGCCAGGGAAGGACCCTCAACTACAGCGATGCCTCCATATACAACTTCGAGACCATAAACGAAGCTTGTCCGAGGTACCATGATTGACAAGGTCAAAGAGCCAATCTGCTGGCTCGGCCATCAGATCAGTGCTCATGACAC